TTTGAGTTCTTAGCTCAGTTGGTCCCTCTCCAAGAAGGCTACCAGCCAATTAACCTCTCCTGGGGGACATTTAAATTCATGTAACTCACCAGCCACAACAGACTGGTTCCACTGCTCTGTTCCACTGATGCGTTTCTCTGTTGGAGGCCTCTGGAGCTGCCAGTAGTCGCTGTGCATCTGTGGGTGTGAGCCACCTGTCACATGCTGTGAATCAGGCTTCAGGGAGAACACGACACTTGCCATATTCTTCTTCTGCCTCTTTGCTTCAGTTCTCACTGCAGACCTTTTCTGGGCCCAAGGGTCGACTTCCCTCCTTCTCTTTTTCATGTTGCTCTGTGCCAGCATCTGGACACCAAGTCTCGGAGAGCTGTTTCTCTGCTGCTCAGTACTCCGACCAAGGGTATTTATTTCTAACATGGTTTCTTCCTAAAGCTTTATTTTTAACCTTTCCCACATAGACCCACACTCCATTTGGCATTAGGTATTGCAGCCAATGTAAGGTGTCGGGGTCACGATTCATGTTTTTCCATATGTACATGGAGTGGATTCCACATTATTTACCCAAAAGTCTGTCCCTTCTGTATGTGTGACATTCAGTTCCAGATCCCTCATACCTGTTCCATTGCACCATCTGTCCCTGTAGCTTACAGTGAAGCCACTACCTGTAGCTAAAGTGCCCAGTTTTGACTTCTGTGGAGACTTTTCTTAAGGTTGCATGGGCCGATCCTAAAGTGTGGGGAGAAGTAATGGTTTTACATTCCCCCACTTAAAAATCCGGAGTTCATCAGTCTTTGATTTGTCAACAATATCTTGTAGATTTAAAAGAGTTACATTATTATAAGTGGTATTTTTCGCATATCCTTTTTATCCTTTGTTGCTGGTATTTGAAAGTATTATTTAAATTCTGCATATTTGCCCTGTCTCATCGTCTTGTTAAATTCACTTAATTCTAGTAATTTGTCCTTATATTTCTTTGCATTTTTCACATATACAGTTACGTTGCTCGCATGATTGTGGTTTAATTTCCTTTCTTCCCGATTTGTCCCTCTCACTTGTCTCCTTGCCTGCCAAGGGGGGTGGGTCTTGTACAGGGTGAGTGGAAGTGGCCCTCACAGCCCCTGCACCCCATAAGAAGGGACCTGCATGTACATCTTCTGCCAAGCTTTAGAATTTTCCCCAACGATCAGTTTGGTTGCAGGAAGCTGGGTTGTTTTCCCGTCCAGCTGCAGTGTCTTCCTAGGTTTATTGTTAAGAGTGAAATGGCTTTAAATGGGAAATACTGAGAATAAAGAAGGTGCTCATGACTTATCCTCAGATATTTACTTCTCTTTTGTACATTTTAGGTGATTTCATACCGTGGATTGTTGATTGGTGGATTCTGTGACTTTTCTGTTTTTTTCTTCTCTTTTCTTTCTTTCTTTCTTTCTTTTTTTTAATGGCACTGGGGATCAAACCCAGGGCCCTTACACGGAACTACAGAGTTACTTTCCCAGTCCTTTTTTATTCTGAGCAGGTTCTGACCAAGTCACCACGTTGCTCAACTTAGATGTGCTCTGGATCTTTTTGGATCTTGTTATCCTTTTTCTCCAGCCTCCTTGTGTGCTAGGATTACAGGAGTGCAGCACTGTGCATCGCTGCTTTGCTGAAGAGAGTATTCTAGTAAAAAAAGAGATTTGTTGAAGGTGTCTGACCTCTGAATTTGCAGCAACTGCCAAGAGTTTATTTTAGCAGCATATTCCCAGCTGTTACAAGAAATCACTGCAAAAGTGGCCCAAATGGGTTTAGTAAAACTCCCCAGCACAGGAAAGTTGTGGTACCCACTTGTCTCTAGCCAGGATCCTGTCTCTGAGGCCATAAGCTGGGAAGGGTGTCCAGATGTGCTTCCCAGAGTCAGGGAGGAAAGAGAAAATGACCAGAGGGGAAACCTGCAGGGTGACTTTATGGAGGAACCTGGTGACGTGCAGGAAGGGAGCAGTGTTTTTCTTTCCAGGGTCATTGGAGCCAGCGCAGAGCAGCATTGGCAGCTCTGGTAACCATTAGCAGCTGTTGTCAAAGTTAACATCGCTGCCTCCCAGTCCACACAGAGTCTCCGTGAAAGTGACAGGAAAGGAATGAAGGAAAGAGTGGTGTGGCCCGTGGTGTCATCCTTTCCTTCATCCAGAAGTATCTGTGGGTAACCAAGATTGCCAGGTTTGCTGTCCCATGGAGCTGCACCCTGAGCAGGTGCCGAGGCATCCAGCAGCCCGGGGCCTTCACTGTGCCCCACAGCTGCGCTTTTCGCCTCTGCTCTTTTCCATTTCCATGTCAGGCATTTCCTCCCAAGTTGGCCTGTCTTTAGGATGCCTATGGAGCCATCTAAGGCCTGTCCTGGCTGCATTGCATTTTTAGAATCTTGGGCAATGCCATTTTTCTCCTAGGTGTATGCAGTAGCAAATACCTGAAAGTAAGTGGTCCTTGGAGTGAAACAGCTAAGGTTCCCAACCATGTCCTCAGATGGGATGTGCCTGGTCCCCCCGTGTGCCACTGAGCATTTCACTGGGCATGGTGGTGCACAGTTGTAATCTCAGCTACTCAAGAGGTTGAGGCAGGAAGATCACAAGTTCTGGACAGCCTGCCCACTTAGTGAGGTCCTGTCTCAAAATAAAAAGAAAAAGTACTGAGGAATAGCTCAGTGTAGAGTGCTTCCATGGAATGTATGGGATCCTGGTTCAGTCCCTGCAGCTACAAAATATATAAAAGAAAAAAAAGGTGTTTTATTTATGCACTTCCACTGAAAACAAGAACTGTCATCTGTGCTTTTAAGCCCCAGGTTTTAGACTTTGTGTCTCTCCTGCCCTTGCTCAGAGTCTCCATCTCTTACCATGGTGCTTCTGGGAAGGGTTCTTTGGGCAGCAGTTCTGTGGGGTGTACTTGTGTAGGGTCTACCCACACTTCAGTGTGCATGTGTATAGTGTCTTCCTGGCTGACCCACCGAGGGCAAGGGAAGATGTCTTAGTTATGTCCTCTTTGCTGGGACAAAATACCTGACTCTCACAAGGTAAAGGAGCAGATGTTTATTTTGGTTCATAGTTTGTAGAGATTTTAGTCCATAGTTGGTTGGACTAAGCAACTCCAAAGCAAGGCAGAGGGACATGGCAGAGGAGAAACAGCTCCTGGCAGGGTAGACCAGAAGTAGGAAACCCTTCCTTTCCCATTCAGGCCTATTGGTTGGCGCCACCCACACCCAGGTTGGCCCTTCCCACTATCCACAACCAGAACTATGTTAAACCTAATCAGTGGACTAATCTAATATCAAACTCATAATCTAGTATCACACACCTGTAATCTAGCCACCTCCTCGAAACCATATCTATGAGTGCATGAAGCTTTGAGGGGACATCTAGATATAAACCACAACAGTGGAGGAAGAAAGAAGCCATGTCAGGTAGACATCCATGCTGCCTGTGACACTGGCCATCCTGGTGTTGCCAGTGGACAGTGCTACTGAGCTTCCATTCACAGGAGCCCACCCAAAACAAGAAAGGGGACCTCAGAGTCGCCCAGCCATTGTCCTGGCTCTGACCTGCAGACAGGCCTTCTGAGTTGGCACAAGGTGGCTGTGGGCCTCCCGTGTGGGGCAGCCGTCCCAGGAGAATTGGCCTGGATCCTGGGCCCTCTGTGAGCCCCTGCAATCCAAGAGGAGAGGCTGGCCTGTGTGCCTGGCTGCCACCTGGGGCATCATTTGGACTGTTTTTTTCTCCTTCCCATTTAGCTCCATGGTAGTGCAGCAAGACTGAGCTGTAGGATAACACTGGGCAGGGACTGCAGTCCCACCTGCAGGGCATCTGCTGCAGGAATATTCCCAGCCTGGCTTTGCGGCTGACCGGCTCCTCCTGCAACCCCGACCCCCCACAGGCTGCAGATGCGCAGGCAGGCAGGCGGCTCGGCCTTCTGTAGGGAAGGGCAGAGCTCAGCAGAGGCTCTGGCTCTAGTAAGGCAGCTCTGCCGGCTGCGTGCTGGCCTCCTTTTTGGCTTTTGTCTGGTTTTGTTTGGAATGGCTGGAGGACAGGATGTCACAGATGGAGACAAGTCTGTATGGAGGGAACTCGGCAGAATGTTCAGGGAAGAAAACACTGGGGTCAACTGGGAGCAGTGAATGGTCTCCGGGGTTCCATCCTTCCTGCCTGTCAACCTTCCTAGCAGCTGCGGCAATTTAGAGAGCTCTTCCTGCATTTGTGAGCATGAGATTTTAAGTCTTTTATGGGGTATGTGTTATTTGCCTCTCTGTACATGTGTGCATGTGTTTGTGCATCTGAATGTTGTGCATGTCCAGTGCTAGGTTTGTATGTGTGTATGTGCATGTCCGCACATGTGTGTTGTGTGTGGGTATATTTCTGTGTGTGCATTGGTGTGTGCCCTCTGGCCTGGCAATATCCAAGGCAGTCTTGGGGAAGTCTCAGATGTGCCATCATAGAAGCTGATCAGCATGGTGACACGGCAGGTTGACCAGGTCCTCCTTTTAAGTGAGGGGAGCACGCTGACTGATCAGCTCCATCTCATGTAGTCAGAGCACCCCTATCTCAGGGAATCTAGCCTGACACACAGGTGGGCCGAGAGGACCACACAGATAGATGGACAGGCTTTGGGGTGGAATGGTGACCTGGCAGGGGCTGGTGCTATAGCAGGGAGAGTGTTTGGTAGATTTGGAGCCCAGGGCCATGGTGCAAGCTGAGGTGTGTCATCGGGCTCCTGCTCCTGTAGGGGGCCCAATGTGGTTCCCTCTGAGCCACAGGATGTGACATTTGGGCTGCCTGCTCTGTGACAGCCCTGGGAGCATCTTTTCTGGGGGTACCTCAGCAGTACTACAGTGCTGCCTCCCCTATTAGAGGGGCAGAGCCTTTGTCCTCCAGACCTGCTTTGACAGAGTAGTAACAGGTGTCAGAGGGGGCTTAGTGAGACTCAAATCCAGCAGGACCCGGCCGATGGCCACTGGCCCTGTATCTACATTGATCCTGTTTCAGGGATAAACGCCCAGGCCCGGAGACTACAGCGGATCCGTGCCAAGGGAACACCAAGCCTGGCCCCAGGGACTGTCTGCGGCTCCCCTCCACCCCAACTGCGTCGCACAGTCAGCGAGACCAGCCTGAGCCCGTCCAGTACCCTGCCTGAGGCTGCCCAGGGCCCTGAAGAGCCAGCCCGGGACACCATGCGCTGCTCCCTGTTCCAGGCCCCGCACCTGCTGCTCCTGCAGGGCTACAGCCAGCAACACGTGAGCTGCCCCTAGGTCCCAGAATGTGGTCTATTGTGCTCCTTGTGGCAAAAAGGAGGAGATAGAGGTGGGTGGAGCAGGGGCAAGTTGGAAACGGGGCACTGACTTACGCCCCAGGCCCTTGTGGAGAGCTCTCCAGTCCTCTCCATACTGCTTCTCAGGCCTTCCGAGAAGGGTGTGTGGGTTCCCAGGGCAGGGCCGGCCAGCCTGCTTGTTGTCCTAGTGATGGTGGGTGCCAGATCACCACTTGGTGGTAACATTTTTCTGGGTAAGGCCACGCTGCCCCACCAGCTAGAGCCATTTCTTGCCATTCTGTCTTGTGCCAGGGTTTGAGCTGGCCTTAGCCACCTCCTGCTCTGTGACAGTGCTGCTGTGTCACTTGCTCTTCAGCCTTGTCCCCTTGTCCCTTCGTCTTTTCCCACCCTACCAGGTTGACACTTTCCTGTGGCTGCCGGGCTTGAGCCTCAGGAGACACCCATGGTAGTTTGGTGGTAAAGATGGGCCTGCACACTAAATGTGGGTGCCCTCAGAGCCTGAGCTAGGCTAGGCCTGTCAAGTGTGGGCACAGGCTGAGGCAGCGAGGGGTGATTCAGTGCTGCTGCTGCTGGCCTCAGATAGCAGTCTAGCTGAAGAGTCTGAAACACATTCTACCTGTCCTCACCTGTGTGGAATCACAGAGGCGGCATCCCCCTGAGTTGTGCTTCTGCTTTTAGGACAGCCTAGTGTACGTGCTCAACCGGGAGCAGCACACAGTGGGCCAGCGCACGCCATCCAGCAAGCCGAGCATCAGCCTGGCAGCTCCTGACATCCTGCCCCTGCACTGCACCATCCGCCGGCGCCCAGCCCCAGATGGCAGCCCTGAGGCGGCTAGGCTGGTGCTGGAACCCATTGCTGGGGCGCCTGTGGCTGTCAACTTCTCTGCAGTGGGCCGGGGAGCTGTGGTGCTACGGCATGGCGACCTGCTCTCCCTGGGCCTCTACTACTTGCTGCTCTTCAAGGATCCTGCACAGGCCCAACTGCTGCCTGCTGGGGCCCTGGCTCACCTGCGACCACCACAGAGCTGCAGGACATGTGGTGCTGCACTCCGGGCCCGTGGTACTGCCTCCTGCTCCTTGGCTGCTTTGCCCAGGCGGCGGCAGCTGCTCCTGGAGTTTGAGCCTGATATGGAGGATGCACTGCTGCAGAGGATCATGACGCTGATTGAGCCAGGGGGCAATGACTACAAGCTGACACCCGCTTTCCTCCTCTGCCTCTGCATCCAGCACTCAGCCATGCACTTTGAGCCTGGCACCTTTGGGCGACTGTTGCTCAAGATTGCCAGGAGGATCCGAGATACAGTCTGGGTGAGTGACACTGCTGGGTGACCTGTGTAGCAGCTGTATCTGCTTGCCTTAGGCATAAGGCCCGACTCCTCTCAATGCCGTGCAGTGGTTCCAGGATGGATGGAAGGCCAGCCTTTTCCACCTCTCCATCTCCTAGCTGGCATCAGTAGTAGTTTGACATTGCAGGCCAACTTCAGGGAGGGCTGGCCTTCGGGGTCCCTTGTCACTCTGGCCTATATCCCTCCCCCAGGTTCGGCCTGGCCTGAGGCCTCTACATGCCCCAGTGAGGTGTCTGGTGCCTGGGTGCTTCAGGGAGCTCTCACAGGTCCTTGTTTGCAGCTGGCACCCTGTGCTTTCTGTATACCAAGCTTTCAGTGCTACAGCTGGTGGTTGAGGGTGCTGGACCAGGTGGCTTTGTCCAGGGACATACTCTGTCTCTTGGCCTGAGCACTGTGGACCTGTGGGCAAGAGAATTCATTCCTGAAGGACCTCTTTAGGACAGTGTGGTACAGTGAACAGTATCCCCAGCTTCCACCCAGAAGAGGCTCCACCCTCCCCTAGATACACCCAGATGTCCCCAGGCTTTGCCCTGGGACACATCACTTGGCAGTGCCACCCAGTTTGATTGGGTGAGTGCTGGAGTGGGCTTATGATGCATAACTCAGCACAGCAGGGTCGTGTGAACAGTGTGCTGTGTTCCTCACACAGATGGAATAATGTGTACCTGAAAGTATCGCTGTGTATATTCTCCCTTTGTCTCATATTTTTTTCCTTTATAATTGTAGGAGAAAACCAAGGAACTAGCAGAGAAGCAGGCCCAACTGTAAGTATGCCTGGGTTACTGTTTTGCCTCTTACTGAATTCCCATTTCCCAGGCAGCCACCTCAGGGTCAGCCCTCAACCTCACCTCTGTGCTGCTGTCTCTGAGTCTCCTTCTCTCCTCTCCCTGCACCCCCAAGTTCTGGGTGAGAAATTCCCCTAGAAGAGCATCCTTAGGAGCATGGGTAAGGTTTCTGGGGAGCCTTCCAGGCCCCTCTCCCTGGTGGCTGGGTTGAAGTGGCCTGTCCCCTGCTCCCAGGAAAGCGTAGACCCCAGGCTCTGGGGCAGAGTGTTGCCCTCACCAGCACCTGCCCCCATGGAAAGGCCCTTTCTGCCCTCCATTGCCAGAGGCACCTGGCAGGGCTGTCTGGATTATCTAGCAGAAGAGCCTGCTGAGCGGACACTGAGGGAATTGTCCTCCCTGGGGTGGCTTGTAAGAACAGCAGTACCAAATGTTTACGCTGGGGACAAATAGTATGGGAGGCTGTGAGCTGCACACACCTGCTTGTGCAGTGTCGTGGAACCTGGTGAAAAGTCCCCACAAAAGCATCTGTTGCTTGATTCTTTGCACACACAAAAATGTGCAGTTCTCAGTGAAGCCACCCATCCAAGAGTCACATCTACAGATGACACTGAAAGGCTGGTGAAGGTAGCTGCCGAGGTGGTGGGGAGGAACTGGGATCTGTGGTGCACATGTGCTGGCTTCCCACGATGGAGTCACTGTCCCCTTCCAAAGTAGGCTTTCAGGGCCCTGAGAGAGATGGTCTCAGGTCAGCAGTGGGCTGGGAACTGCTGTCCTTGCCATTGACCACGTGGACTCCAACTCAGAACACCTCTTAACCACAGATCCTCTCTCCCAAGTGCCTATCAGTATCAGGTTGATATTTGAATATTAATGTGCTGACTAAGAATCACGAGCTGTGGGGTTTCATGCTGTGTGGGAAATCCAGACACTGCCTCTCAGCAGTATGGGACAGGATTCTGCAGAAAGCAGCCCCAAAGCAGCCTTGGCAAGAAGACATTGATGCAGGATGAGATGATGGTGGGCTGTGTCTTGGTTACTATTCTTATTGTGAATACAAAATATCCAAAGTTAAAAGATGAAACGTTTATTTAGCTCACAGTTTGTAGAGGTTTCAGTCCATAATCAGCTGTCTCCAAGGCAGGGTGGCACGGCACGGTGGCACCAGTTCATGGTGGCAGAAGACAGCAAAAGGAACAAGAGCAAAAAGGGCAAAAGGGGGGAGAGAGACGACTCTTTCTGTCTCTTACAAAGTACATAGGCTACCTGCCCCAGGGTGGGTATAGCACCCATCCCCATGACTGCATGAGGCTTTGAGGGGACATCTAGACACCAACCATAACAGGCAGGGAGGAGCTGAGCTGTAGGCACAGAGTGGCACCTACATCCCATAGAGTTTCTGTGTGAGGGGACCCAGTGTTTATGTGGGGCCTCTTAAGGGACAATGTCCCTGCTCTGTGCCAGGACTAGTTCTGGGACTGAGGTGTTATGCAGTGGTGGGAGCATCCCACACCTGCTCCTGCTCGCAGAGGTGCAGGTGCCATATGACTGGAACCTTCCACCGGGCATGGTGGCTCACGCCTGTAATCCCAGCGCCCGGGAGGCTGAGGCAGGAGGATTGTTTGCGAGTTCGAGTCCAGCCTAGGCTACAAAGTGAGCCCAAGGCCAGCCTGAACTGCATAGCGAGACCCTGTCTCAAAAAGACGACAAAAAAAACTGGAATCTTCCATCCTGGCACCTGTGTAGGGCTGGGGGAAGGAAGCCCAGCAGGAAGAGCTAGGTCTTCCCTTCGGCAGCAGCCTGCTTTTGCTATGTTTCCAGTCATTCGTCATGAGGGCCTAAACACATTCTGGTTTCCAGGCCTGGTGCAAGCTCACAGCATTTAGGTTTTTTTCCCCTTTCCTTTTTAAAATAGTGACGCACTTCTAAAACAGAACGGTGCAGAATGTACCAGTCTCCGGGAATCCACACCTGGGCCCATTGTCAGTCGCATTTTGCCACATTCCTTCAGATTGCTTTGTCTCTGTTTCTTTTTAATCATATGCATGTGGATGACCATGAAATTTCCCTTAATGCTCTGCATCTGGGGTCATTGTGGTCTTCACTGGACTCTCCCTGAGGGTCCTGTGCTCTTGTGTGAAGCCTTGAGTGACTATTGACTCCTGCATGGAAAGCTGTGATCTGCTGATGGGGTGAGGGTTAGTCAGCAGGTGAAATCCCATGCATCTGTTGTGTACAGCGTGGGGTGCGATGTGGAATGACCATTTTGTGTGGAAAACGCCCGCCCTCCCTGCAGTCTCCAAGCTTACAATGTTAGTATTGCAGTGGCTCCTACAGTAGACCTCTTGGCCTCATGCCCTGCTCAGCCCTGGTTCCCACCATTCTATCCCCTCTTCTAGGAGTCAGTCTTTTAGCTTCCTCATGTCTTTCTGTACCTCACTTACGTATTCACCTGATGGGACCTTCCCTGGGCTCATCTGGGCTCATCAGGAAGGATAGATCTTCCTTCTGTGTGTAGCCGCTGCTGTAAGGTGTCCATGCGTGCTGTGTGTTCTTTATCTGTCCGTTCTCTGATGGGCAGCCGGTACGGCTCCATGTGTGGGTGAACTTGGCAGTGCAGTCACCTTGCTCTCATTCTGATAGCATTTCCTGCAGGTATACCCAGGAGTGGGTCTGCCATGTCCTACAGCAGCTCTGTGTCCTCCTCCTCCCAGCCTGGGAATTCACGCTGAGCTGCATCCCAAGCTCTTTTGTATTTTTTATGCTGAGACAGGGCCTCACTAAGTCCCCAAGGTTTTCAGGTGGGACTTGAACTTGTGATCATGCTGGGATCCGCGGGCTGTGCCACCACGCCTGCTGGCTCTAGCTGTGGCTGTTGAGACACTTGCAGTCTCCCACATGGCTGTGCTTGTTTGCATCTCCAAATCCCAGCCAGGGCTCCCTTTTCGCAGTACCTGTGTCTCTTGTGGTTTTGAAAAGAGCCTTCCCCATAGACACAAGTCAATGCCTCCTCATGGCTTTGAATGATTTGTTATTTCCCTCGTGAGTAGTGATGCCTGCATTTGGTGTTTTAATTAGGAGCATCCCATCGGGCAAATTCACAGGTGAAAATTAGTCTGCAAGTCCATGACATATGATCAAAGCACGTGGTGAGCGTTTGAAGCACGTTTTAATGTATTACACTAAAGATACGTTGTCCTTCAGAGCGCTCCCCTTGTTTTGATCCCACTTAGCCCATGGTTTTGGCCATTTTCTACAGCAGTTCTGGAAGTGTTTAGTGCTGTCATGCCTGCCTTCCTGTTCTGAATTGACTCAGAATGTTTCCTTTTCTAGGTCGTTTTGGCTTCGGGGAAGAGCCACAAGCCATGTGCCAGACCCTATGAATGAGGTGGGCGAGGCCTCGCTGTCATGCTTTTGTGAGCCACCTCTCTTTTGGATGGCACTTGGCAGTAGCATGCACCACATTTTTTATCACACCTTATAAAAGACACTCAGGAAAGAGGATTTCTAGAACTATTTCAGAAAGTAGCAAGAACAGTGGGATAAGGATGTTTGAAAGGGGGTCGTTTTACTATGGTGAACTTGTTTTGTTTAATGTGTTATACCTTGTGATTGCCGTTTGTATGTTTCTGCATCATCCTGATCTGCCTTGGTGACAGACTCACAGAATGAATACTTCAGTCCCTTGCAGAGCTATCATGGGGTGGGGGCCTATGCCTCAGGGCTTGTCCAAACAGGCTGTGAGGACTAAAGCAAAAAAAAAAAAAAAATTTTTTTTTTTGGTCTTTTTAAGACAGGGTCTCATTATGCAGTTCAAGCTGGCCTTGAACTCACTTTATAGCCCAGGCTGGACTCAAACTCACAGAGACTCTCCTGCCTCAGCCTCCCAAGTGCTGAGATTACAGGTGTGTGCCACCATGCCCAGCTGGAACCAATTCTTGAATGATTGGTTTATTTAATTTTCTGTTATTTCTTTGATAACTTTTATTTTCCTGCACAATTATCTATGTTTTCATAGATATTTATGTTATCTATGTTTTGAAAGTTACTGACATAAAATTGTTGTATTTTCTTACAGCTTTTCATGTCAGAATATCTAGTTTTTTCATTTAATTCCTATTGTTTCTGTTGTTCTCTTTTTTTCTGTCACCTCTGAGTTTCCTTCCTAAGGATTTGTCTATTCACTGTTTTAAAGAACCAGTTTCATTTTTTTCAGTTTCTTTTTTTATTTCTATTCCCCGTAGTCCCTATTCCCTTATTTTTGTAGTTTCAGTTGTAACTTTCTTGATTCATGGAGTTGTTTAGAATGTGGTTTTCTGCAGCCATACTTTGCCTTTTGCTAAATTTTGCTAAATTTGCAAAATTTTGCTAAATTTTGATCTTCCATGATTTGGAAGATCTCAGGATTTTGTTGTGACTCCTTTACTTGCTAGTTTGTGATCAATTTTATGAGCACTCCTTTTGTACTTCAAAGAATGCTTAGTTTATTTTTGTCTAGAGTTCAATATGTTTATGAGATCAAGTTTGTTTACTTAACTTTTTTTAACTTTTGTGGGGAGGGTCTGTTTAAGCTCCCTTTTAGAGAAAAATGTTAACATGTCCCTTGTTATTGTGGATTTGTAAATTTCTTTTAAAATTTCACACACTTTGTTTTATTTTTGTCAGTATTTTGCAGCAAGGCTTGTGAAGCTTTAAGACTAACCTTCTAAACCGTTTCTTTTAAAAGCTGTCCTTTTCTATAATTCTTACTCCATTCCTTCATTTATTTACTGTTTGCCTGCCAATTCTTTTCTTTACTTTTGACCTTTCTATGTCCTTTTATTTTTTGAAAGCAGTTGTTTATCCAGCCTGCTTATCTTTGTTGATGGAAAAGTTCGGTCCATTTGTTTGCGTTGTAGTCACGGGTGTACCGGAACCCCCAGTTTGTGCTATGCTTCTGTTTGCCATGCCTATCGCCTGTGCCGTCCATATTCTCCTGTTAA